TATATATATGCTATAAAACAAAGCAGAAAAAAATTTCAAATTTTAACTTGTGATTCGATTTGACAATCTTAAAAGAATCTCTATGACTTTGATTTATATTTAATACAAATTTTCTCCCATTTATTTTTCAAGAACTTTGCATAAATTTGTATGAAATATCCAAGCTATAGCTATACGTATATACCTCCGTTAAACCATGCGCAAACAATAGCTACTATAAATCAGCAAACAGCAAAACTAAATTAATGAATGTTCAAAAACAATCTAACTAAATGTTCAAATCAATGTTAAAAAAAAAAAAAAAAATGAAAAACCAACCAAATACAATCGAGACAATTTTACCTAATAATATATACATATATATTAAGAATATGGGCTGCTTGGCAACCTATATACATAGTATATATACCCTATAATAACTAACAAATAGACTAGATTTAAATAGCAGAGTATAGAAATGCTCAGCAGAGCTCACAGTAAGAATACAACACCAAACAAACAACAATTAAGAACAAATATCTTAAAGAAATAGCATAAAAATGATCAAATATATATGTCTAATATATATATACATAATTAATGCATATTTATGGAAAAAAGCAAGCAACAACTCTTTTAAACAAATTACAATTACCAAAAATCGAAAAACTTAAAAATTTATGCAAAGCTACAAAATATTTTAACAATAATCTTTGAATGTTACAAACAGAACCTAAGCATATGGACAGCATTGTAACTTTGAATGTCTAACATTTTCAAATTTAACTAATATTCAAATAAAAACCTTTATGTGTTAGCAGAAAAAAAGAAATGTAGTTTCTATTTGAAGTTTAAAGCTCAGCGCGTTGAAAAAAAAGCTCGTGAGCGAAAGCTTTCGTGAAGGGGGAAATACCGCAACAGCCGTGCATTCATCGCATGACTCAACCAGCGAGCTTGTCGAACTCGCCGAGTAACTGACCCGTATATACCCTGGAATTCTAGAAAGTTGGTAATATTATAACATACAGACACAATTTACAAATTACTTATTTTAGCTAAACTTTCTTTAACAAAAAACATAAGATAAATGAATTTTCAAAATAAATAATTATTTACCACTGACTTTAAAAAATTTTAACCAGCAATAAAATTATCATCTATTTTTATCTGACCTATAAAATAAATAAAATAACCCTTTTAATGTGCATCTTTTCTTACTACATGTTGAACATAACCAGCTGAGCTCTGCCCATGCTTACAGGGTATTTAGAGAGATGTGGGCTTTTTTTATTGCATGCAATACCACGCAGCCCCTTGCTGAATCATATATGGTATATTAAAACCGGCTGGCTGAACGACGCGCTAGTCGCTCACTAAACCTTGGACGTGGTGGAACTGATTGCGCAATCGGACAACACGCGGATCTTAATAAAAACTAAATAAAAAAGAATACACATATATATCAATAAAATTTGTAATCAATTATCAGAGCAATGCCAAAAGTAGCGCCAAAAATCAAATTAAACAATGGCCAGGAGATGCCCATAATTGGCCTGGGCACCTGGAAATCATATGAATCGGAAGCCTATCAAGCAACCAGTGACGCCATCGACATCGGCTATAGACACATTGACACCGCATTTGTTTACGAGAACGAGCATGAGGTGGGCCAAGCGATCCGGGAGAAAATTGCCCAGGGCGTGATCCGGCGAGAGGATCTGTTTGTGACCACTAAATTGGGTGGCATTCATCATGATCCTGAAGTGGTGGAGCGCGCGTTTCGCTTGAGCTTGAGCAACTTGGGTCTGGACTATATCGACTTGTATCTAATGCACATGCCCATCGGCCAAAAGTTTCACGACGACAACAATGTGCACGGCACCTTGGAGCTGACGGATGTCGACTACTTGGATACGTGGCGCGAAATGGAGAAACTTGTGGATCTTGGACTTACCCGCAGCATCGGCCTCTCCAATTTCAATGCGGCTCAAACAGAGCGTGTGCTTGCAAATTGCCGCATTAAGCCGGTGGTGAATCAAGTCGAATGCCATCCAGCCTTCCAGCAGGAGCAACTGCGTCAGCATGCCAAGGAGCACGGCCTGATCATCTGCGCCTATTGTCCGCTGGCCAGACCACAGCCGGCACGCCATTGGCCGCCATTCCTGTACGATGAGCGTGCGCAGCAGCTGGCCAAGAAATATGGTCGCAGCAGCGCACAGATTTGCCTGCGTTATCTCATACAGATTGGCGTTGTGCCGCTGCCGAAGTCGTCGAATAAAGCGCGAATTGCGGAGAATTTCAATGTTTTCGATTTCGAGCTGCAGCCTGAAGATATGGCTGTTATGAAGAATTATCATACGGGCGTGCGCACAGTTCCATTTAGTGGGATGGCTGGCCATAAATATTATCCATTTAACGATCAATTCTAAGTTTAATTACCGCATAAGCTTGCTTAGTATTTTTTATATTAATAACACAAAACACAGGGTTGTATTGCAAACAACAACTTGCTAATCAGCTTGTAAATGAATTTCATTTGATAAAAACAAAAAAAAAGAAATAAGCCAAAAAAAAAAATACCTAGTCTGTTGTCTTATCTTAGTATCTTACGTAAATAGGGTAAGGAAAAGTAGGAGGTTGTCAAGTTTAACTTTATTTAATATGTATTTCATTTCGATGTGAACTACAAAAAAAACCCTGATTGTGTTTAGAGATAAAGCACACAAGTTATTTAATGCAATTGCTACGTTCGCTAGTTTCTATTCCAGACGCATTGAAAATCATATCTGCTAAATTCTGTCATATTTGTCGCCGGGTTTTGAAGTGTCTGTCTTATCAGTTGACGGATTTCATGATGAAATACAAAAGTAAAATAGTTCAAGGGGGGCCGAGGGCGTTAAATGATCTTCTGTGTCTGCCAACGAATAATAGTGGAAAGAGTAATCATCAAATATTTAAAATTAACTTCATTAGCAAGCTCAGCGAATCAACAGGTTGCTTTCTTGCTACTGCTTGTTTTTTAGTATTTAAATACTGTTTTGGTGTTTTATCAATGCCGTTGCAATCACGTTGGTTAGGGTGACCATTTATTTTATGCTCATTTTGGTGGGTACACACTGAAATAGCGAGCAGCTGTTTAGCCTTGCGTTTTACTTTTAAGTTGCTGGTCGGAAAAATTATTTTACGAAAATGTCGGTTATATTAAGACATAAACTGCCCACGCAATGGCTTTTAAAGGTAGTTAAACACACACTCACTTTGATAGAGCAATAAATTAACACGCTTTATTTCAGCAAATTTGTTACAGCACCAGCGCCAAATCGAGCAACGATGCGGCAAGTGCCAAAACAATACCGAAAAATTTGCTCGAGGATAAGCAAACGGCGAATTTGCAAAAGGAAAACGGCGCCATATTCGATAAGCGCCCATTTAAACTGCACTTGGACAAAGGTAAGCTAAGCCAGACGCTCGCAAATTTCATCAAATAACAAGCATGTTTACATAATCGACCGCACGCAGACAAAACCTACAGCTGGTGCCTGTGCGGTAAATCAAAATCTCAGCCGTTGTGCGATGGAACGCACAAAAACGAATTTCTTAAAATTAAACTGAGGTGAATATGTTAGTATAATCGTGGTATATTAAATGTACTAATACAAGTTATTCACCAAAGGCCCATACGCTTCAAGGTGGAGAAGACGGGCGATTATTGGCTCTGCAACTGTAAACACACCACGCATCGTCCCTTCTGCGATGGCACCCACAAGCAGCAGCACATCCAAGACGCCGTTAAATAATTTTCAAAATACATAAATAGAACTTTTGGTTAAATGTGAAATGCATTTTGTAGTATGTATGTATGTATATCAAATGAGAAATGCACGCAGAGAATTTTTTTGGATTCAAGAAGCAACACTTGTTTTATTCTAGTTAATAGAACCATCATACATACACATAAATAAATGCTTTTGCAGCCCGAATTACATACATTATATGTACGTATGTATGCATGTATATGTGGTGTATAATATATGTATATATATATATATATATTTGTTTGTATACTTTATAAATTTATTAATATTTTTAGTAATGATTTTACAAGCTTCAACAAAATATTTACAGCTTTTGGATAAATAAAAATTTAGAATTTCTTTCAAAATTCACTGTATAAATAAATTTGGTATATATTAAAAATTATTTAAGTAAAAAAGTGATAGGTTTTATGTTTTTAGAAATTAGCAAGTTGTTTTCGTTTTATTTTTAAAGTTCGGATTTTTACACATAAAAAAAGAAAAGCTGGTTGATAGAGCAAAAATTGTCTTAATTACTACTATATTCATTATTCATCATGCATTCCACATGATTAGTTATTTTAGAACAGAAAAAACGTTGATCAACTGAAATACTATGCCAATCTGATCTGCACGTGAACTTCACATTTTACAACTGTTTTTTTTTTTTTTTTTTCGACTACACACACAAAACTACACTCAAAAACAACAACAAAAGTCAATGACAAATTTTCTTTACGTAAAACTTATAAATTCATGTTTTTGTTTAGGAAAAGAAAATGAAAAAAAAATCGCATTTCGAGCAAAAAAAAAAAAGGAAAAACAAAACCAAATCATCAAACGAAACGGCAACAACACAAAAAACATACTAATCGTTACAAGTTTAATTAAATATTCTAAACAATTTTGTATCTTACGTCGCTCTACTTTATACGACGTATATTGGGGTTGAGTTTGTTTTTGTTGTGATGTTTTGTTGTTGTTGTTGTTGACTTACTACAAACGATTTGGATACTTCATTTAGTAAATAACAATAGCAGCAGCAGCCAACAGAACAYGATTCGGTTTTTAGTTGTTTAATATGGTTAATTGGTTCGATCAATTGAATTCGTTTGAGGCAACGTAACTCAGCTTTGTCTGCAACAAAATTGAGCAGTTTTTGAATATATTATAAATGCCATAATATATTATAATAACAATCGTGTTCGATCGGTGCGCTGCATATTGTCATTTAGTAAATACTTAATTTACATAATCACTATGCCAAATTTGAATTAATAATTAATAAATAACTACTGTGTGTACATATGTGTAATGTATATATGTATATACTATGTGTGTGTGTGTGTGTATTTTTTGTTGTGTTAAATCGCATACTTTCAAATAATATCCATTTTTGTCTCTGTATTTGTATGTAAGTGAGTGTGTGTGTGTGTGTGTTTTGCGAGTGTTTCCTCGTTCATTATATTGTAATATCTGTTTTTGTTTGTTTGATTCGTTGGTTAGTTTGGTTCCGCTTGTAGAAAGTTTCCGTTAAATATTTTTGAATTTGTTTCACTTTTTGAAAAGTTTGATCAGCGCAGCAATTCCACGTTGTATTCYAATCCATGTTTGTTTATTATTATTATATATGTTTTTGTGTTGGGTTGTTTTGTTTTCTCCTTTTTTCCGAATATGTATTGATCAAAGAAGTAATCGTGGGTTTGACTATATTTAGTATTCTTCGTCCTCTGGTGGTGCGTCGTCTGGTGGCGCAAAGCCATCCTGTTGTGGTGCCAAAACACAATTAGATTATGCAAATTGTTTAAGCAAGCAAAAATCTCTCTCGCTTACCTCAGTTGCGTACAGAATGTCCAAAATCTTTTGAACTAACTGAGCTGGCTCGGCCTCATCGGCTTCCTGGCAACTGTGCAAATATGAAATATATATATATATATTTATATTAATTAAACATGTTTCCTTCATAATTGATCCACTTACAGTATTTCAATATCGCGCAGCTTGGAGAAATAGAAATCGCGCTCTTTCTCCAAGCCCTCCAGATTCAGACGCATATCCATTATCTTTGGAAGGATGATATGAACAAACAAAACAAAATATAATATAATGATCACTTGCATACATCTAGTTCAGGACGAACCTGATTCGACAGCTCTTCGATCTGTTGATTCGTTTGCGCTGTCACCGCATCGTTCTTCTTAACAGCTCCCGTTGTGCCCGCCGTCATTCGATTCGGCGGCGTCGCATTGTTTGTCCGTGGCGGTACCTTAGAAACTACTTGTATTGCGAAAGAGACATAATTGATAGGTTAGTTTATATCACGTACAATCAATTCAAAATATACAATGAACACAACTATTGATGGAATCTTTGTTGAGTATTTAACAAACGTGAAGCACGTCAAATGATTGGCGTTCAAGTAGCGCTTTGTTGGGTTTCGAAAAATTTCGTTGACAATAATTTGTGCAATCAAGTTTTGTTAAATTATAGATATATAGTAGAAATGAAAATCGGTGTGAGTAGTTGTTAGAGTAAGTAAGTATTCATTGTAGTTGTAGTTTATGTTTTAGATGAGCATAATTTAGTATATGTACAATAAATTTGTTTGGTTATATAATGAATGTTATTGTTGTTGTTATTATTATTATTAACAATATATGGAATGGGACACGGGCAAGCAAACGAAACCAAACCAAGAGAACATACTGGGCTTTGTGGCTGTCGTTGTTGTTGCTGTTGGCCGTGTTGCCGCCGATGTTGGCACACGCCTGTAGGAGCTGGCAACGCCGCCGCCGCCGCTGCTTGTGCCTGGCAGAGATTTTCCAGCACCGGAGCCAAAGCCCATCGGTGCACCCTCGCGTACAGCGCTGGCATCATAATCTCTGCCATCGTAATTGGCGTCGAAGAACTTTTTGAACCATTGTAAAAATTCAAAATTATCTTGGAATCGACCCTTTATCAATTTGTCAATGGGTATTATCTAAAAGTAAAATGTGTGAGAGTGAGAGAAAGAGAATAATAATGCAAGTGTAACTGTGGGGAATGCCATATGAGGAAACACAAAATAGAAATTACAAAAAAAAAAAAGAACCAAAAGAGACAGACAGTTAAACAGAACAATTTCGATATCAAGATTCAACTAAGATTAAACTAAAGATTATAAATTAATGAGAGAGAAATGTGCACACTAAAAACAAAGACGAACAAAATACTCAAAAGACGATGTACTTGAGGACAAATGTGTGTATGTAGGTGTGTGTGTGTGTGTGCGTGTTGATGCGTATGTGTTTGTGCCAATTAGCTTATTGAAGTTTTTGTTGTGCTTGTGTGTTGTTGTTGTTGTTGTTCTGTGTAATGTGTGTGTGCGCGCGCCTTTTATGGTATGCAGTCGACGCTTCCGCGTGCTTCACGTTCGTTTTCACTTTTCGATCATTTTTTTAGTTTTTGTTGGGTTGTATACAAAATGAAAGTAAAACAAAAATGGAACCCTCGCATACAGCGACCATCACCGTCAACAGCTTCTCTTCCATTATTAACAAATTCAAAACCATCGACAATATTCTGCAGCGATCCCATACCCGTTCTACCGCGCATCGAGCTGCTGCGCCCATTGCTGACAAGTGGCGGATGCGGCTGGTGCGTCGACTGCGCATGCGATGAATGCTGGTGCTGCTGTTGCTGGGAATGGGAATGGGCATGCGAGATGAGCTTCTGTCGGTGCATCGTGTGCAATTCATTGCTGCTGCTGCCAACGCCGCTGCCCGTGTGACTGCCGGGTCCGCCGCTGCCCAGCTTCACGTGATTCCGCTGCGCCAGTGCATCRTATTCCTGTCCATCATAATTGGCATCGAAAAACTTCTTGAACCATTGTAGGAATTCAAAATTGTCTTGAAAACGACCCTTAATAAGCTTATCAACTGGTATAATCTGTCGTCGTTGTTGTTGTTGTTGTTGTTATTATGATTGTTGTTGTTGTGGTTGTTTTTGTTGCCAGTTGCATAGTTGCAGTTGATGTTGTTGTTGTTGTTGATTTGTAACGGAAATTGTCAGTTAGTTACGCACATATTAAAGTTAAGTGTCGTAAGATTTTGTTTATAAAAAAATGTTTCTTGTGTTCCTCAAGAGATTTTTTAAATTTAAATTTTTAAATTAATTTTATGTAAGTTAAAAATAAAGTTTTAATATAACTTCAATTGAAATGACATCAATTGACGATTTTACTTTTAAGTAAAACAGAAAATGTTCTATTTCTAAATTGAATTTCTTAACTAACGAAACTTTCTTTAGACTGAAAAACTAATCTCTATCAATAATCTCAATTTCTAATATAT